TGAGCACTGTCCGGCATCTCCGTTAATTTTTTCTTGAGAACGGTCAAGCATCCCTTTAAATTTTTATTCTTGAGACGCGGTCACAGATTCATGTTTTAATTTATTCTTAACGACAATACAGCACCCCCCACTTTAATTTATTCTTGGAGAGGGTTCCCAGCACCCCACGTTAATTTATTCTTGAGACGACGGTACAGCCCCCACTTTAAATTTTATTCTTAGACGACGGCCCAAGCTCTCTGTTAATTTTATTCTTGAACAAGGGTTTCACAGCATCCCCCAATTTTAATTTTTTCTTGAGACGACGGTCAAGCTTATGTTAATTTATTCTTGGAAAATGGTCACGCTCTCCGTTAATTTTTCTTGAGACGACGGTCGCGCACCCACATTAATTTTCTTAAACGATGGTCACAGACTCATGTTAATTTATTCTTGAGAGGGGTCACAGAACTCACTTAATTTATTCTTGGACGACGGTCCGCATCCCACATTAATTTTTTCTTGAACCGGTCACAGCTTTAATGTTAATTTTTTTTGAGACGAGGGGCAAGCATCCCAAATTAATTTATTCTTGAACATGGTCACGCATCCCACATTAATTTATTCTTGACACGACGTCACAGCATCCCCCATTAATTATTCTTGAGACGACGATAACAGCATCCACTTTAAATTTATTCTTGAGGATGGTCACGCACCCCACATTAATTTATTCTTGAGACAACGTCACCATTCACGTTAATTTATTTTGAGATGACGGTGCAGACCCACATTAATTTATTCTTAGCGGGTCCAAGCATCTCATTTTTAATTTATTCTTGAGACGACGGTCACACACTCATTAAATTTATTCTTGAGACGACGGTCACAGCATCTCCGTTAATTTATTCTTGAGCAAACGGTACAGATCTCATGTTAATTTTTTCTTGGACGACGGTACAGCATCCCACATTTTTTATTTTGAGAGACGGCCCAGACCCAATAATTTATTCTTGAGCGCCCGGTCCACCCCACCCATTTTAAATTTTTCCCCCCTTGACAATTTTTAAATTTCGGGATAATTTTCTCATTCTAAGAAATGCTAAGAAAAATGAAACAGATACAAAATCTGACACTGTGGCAATGTTTCGTCTCCAAGTTTTTTTTAACCATTTACTAACATTTTTTAGGTAATTTTTCCCTTTGAGGAGGTTTTCCCTTGATGCTGGGGGAGGGGCTCTTGCTAGGGAATTTTATCTGTGCTCCAGTTCCCTGAATTTAAATCTGAATACCCTCCATCCTTCCCCCCCCCCCCACACTGCATGCCCTTTTCAGTTTATCGCTTTATTGATTTTATCCCTCCACAGGCGTTGAAAATCCCCGGTTTAGGATTTTTCCCCGGTTATAATAAAAATACTTGGAAAATTTAACCGTTATTATAACAAAAAGAAAAACTATTTTAGGGCACTGGGACTGGACATGGGATTCCCGGCACGGCCCCTCATGGGATACCCGGCACTGGAATCATGGGCACACCCCGGCCTGGCACATCATGGGCATACCCTGGCACTGGTATACATGGGCATACCCTGGCACTGGTATACTGGGCATACCCTGGCACGGCACTCATGGGCACTACCCTAGCATGACTCAGGCACTACCCCGGGACTGGACATCAGGGCACACACTGGACATCATGGGCCTACCCCGGACTGGCCACATCATGGGCACTACCCGGCTTGGCAATCATGGGCACTACCTGGACTGAGGCCCCCCGGCAGTACACCTTTGAAAACTTGACTAATTTTCTTTTTAAGAGGATCGTTTTAAAAAAAACATTCCATTTGTGATGACAACGTGCTTTAAGTTCAAAACCCCGTGGAAATAATTCAAGGACCCAGTGGGGAAATAATCCTTTCCCGCTTTTTTGGGGGGGGAGAGGGGGTGTTATCGTAGGGACGTGGAACCTCCCAAATCGAAACTTTCTTTTTGGTAGGGGCTGTTCGAGTGCCTTTACCGAAAGAATTTATTCCCCTCAGGAATAAAGTAAAAATTTAAAATTTGTCCATTCAGACCCTCAAAAATACCTTATAAAAAGCACTTACAAAAAAAACACTTCATATTGGTCGGTTGGGGCATTGATTTTTGGGTTCCACTTAATTAAACGTATCTAGGTATGATAATTGTTCTTGTATTTTGTAAACTTTAAATTCCATTCCAAATGTTTTTAAAAGTGTATACTATTTGAGATCTAAGTCCTTGTTATTTTAAGATTGAAGTTTTTTTTAAATTGGGGGGTTAGCCACCAAAGTTAATCAGTGTGTTTAACTTACGACACTGTTTAGAAAGGGTTACCACTCTCACCAATTTGCCCGTGAAGTTTTCCCGCTGTATGACCCTGGTGGTTTAGCGTTTCATTTGATTATAAAAAAATTAAAAGGTTTTTGTTGGGTTTTCAGCCTTGATTTTGGGTTATCTAGGTAATTTGCCTAAAATGATATTTGACTTAGGTTCCGTGCCTAAATAAACTTTTTCCCTCCAGCTCCAAGGCCCCAGTGGAAAAACAAAGACCCCCAAGGAAATAAGTCACCTTTTCTTTTTTTGGATTTATCCTGGGTAAATTTTCATGTGTTTTATATATGTATCTATGCAAAAAACACAGAAACAGGTGATTTTTAAAAAAAATGCCCAAAGAAACCCTTGAAAGGGTGAAATTCCAAACGCTTTATGACACCCACTTTAAAGGAACTTGAAAATAATAAATTGCCTTCCTTTGTGTTTTTCTTTTATAGTTCCTTTTACAATGGGTTTGTCACAAAAGCGTTGGGGGTTTCACTACTCTTTACGTGGTTTTTTTGCATGTAACTATGTAAATTTTATTTGTTTTCTATACACCTGAAAAAATAACTGTTCTGGGACAACCTCCTCCTCCTCCTCCTCTTTCCTTCCACCCATGATTTATAGACCTCTCCTTCATCAGCCTATCCCTGTCCATCCTGTATACACGCCCACACCACCTCAGTGACCCATCTTCAGCCCCTCTGTATTATTCCCTTGCTCACTCCACATTGCTTTTTAATTTTTGTGCTCTGCATTCTTTCCATGATCGTTACACAACACTTCATCTGTTGTTTCCAAATCTGTTGTTCCAGTGGACTCTGTTATCTATTTCCAGAGTCTGTTAAATGGAAGTCCATTAAATGGAGGGTTTACTACATTATATATTAGTGTTATAACTTTTAGTTTGTCTGCTTAATTATTATTCTGTATATTAATTATTATTGTTTTATCATTTACCATTGCACTTCTGTTTTTTTTTTTCTTGGCCTTGATTTTTTCCAACTTTTTTTTCTCTTATGTCTCTTTGTATAATCCTAGAAATTTGTATCTATACTATTGCATTTCCAGTCCATCCTCCTGGTGCTTTTGTACATATGTACTGTATTGCTTATTGTAAATTTCTGTGTTTATATATGTTTAGAGAAGTTAGATTGCTTTGGTCAGGTTCAGTTGCCATCTGTTAGCAAAAATTTACCAAGGACCAGATGAGCCTGGCCCATGGCTGGGCTCCAAGACTAGTCAAACTCTCGAAGCTCTTCAAAGGTATATCAGAGGTAAGGTAAGCTATGACACACTACATTTCCCAATAAATGGAGCAAAACATATTATTGATAAATTTTTTTGAGAATGAACAGAAATTGGGGACCCATTGTATATACTGTACGATGCACTATTATTAAGGTTTCCTCACTTTATTTGGGAGTTAGACAGTCGGTGCCAGATCAGCCAGGCTGTGGTTTGTACGTTGGACCACATGCAGCCAGCAGTAACAGCCTGGTTGATTAGGCCCTGATCCACAGTCAGGTCTGGTCATGGACGAGGGTGTTGATCCCCGGAACATCCTCTAGGTAGACACACAGTCTTCAGTCAGAGTGAGATACAGTATTATTCTGATGTTTCTCAGGAGGATATTCTATGTATCTCTTACCTCATAATATCTTTTCTTTACTACTGTATTTTGTGTTTTGTTATAGTGATAAACATTGTCTTATTCATTTACCAGAACATAATTAGTTTTTCTTTTTTGAATATGGTAAATATAACTATTATTAAAGTATTAGTTCGAGTCCTTCCAATAATGCAAATCATAATATGAGCCTTTTTTTATGTTAATGTCCGGGGTTTATTACCTGGACCTCAGCGGTGAGAGTCGCTACTCTCACCGCTGGACAACGCCGACTAGTGCATGAGCCTTTTAACCCATAAACGGTCAACATATTATAAGTGGGACCCCGGTTAAACGAATTTTTTACTCCAGAAGTATTTTTCTGTGCAGTATGCTGAATTTATTCCATAAGGAATATTGTGAGTGTTTATCCATTTCAGACCCCAAACCCTTAACCAAAACGCCTTACATAAATACACTTACTAATTGGTTCACTTTGGAGTTGTTTTTTATGCGGGGGTCCATGTATACGTTTTTAACATTGAAATATATAAAAAGTAAAACTTCTTTTTGTTGTCACATTTGAAAATGTGTAAAAAAATTTGATTTACTTCTTTTTGTTATCATTTGAAAATATTTTAAAAAAAAACGTAGATTACTTTTGTGCACTACACTTGAAAATTGTTTGGAGATTTACGGTTTTTAAATGTTATTTTTTATAAGGGGAAACCCGCATAACGATTTATTTAACCCAAAGAAGTCTGTTTGGGTCCCGTTTAGACCGAATTTGTTCCATAAGAAATATTGTGAATAAAATTAGTCCGTTTCAGACCCAAAAATTACACCTACAAAAAAAACTTACAAAAATACACTTATATAATTGGTCAAGTTGGGAGCTGATCGTTAGGCGGGGTTCCACTGTATTAGGCTTTTATTATTCCCTTACCAAATGTCTGATTGTTGCAATAATATTGAATGTGTTTGAAGGGGACATGGCATAAGTTTAGCCCTTGGAGGGGGGAGGGGAAATTTCCTGTATAGATGGGGTTTCTCAAAGCCCCGACAACCCATGGGCCATTTCCCCTGCCCAGCTGCATTTCCTGTTTCTCTGGAGTGTGCCACAGAAAAACCATCCTGCAGGATAAATGTATAAGGTAAACAAAGCTCTTGTCCTAACCTTATAAAATGTCAAGAATTATTGCATATTAGGGGTTGTAAGGAACAAAAAGGCATAAATAACAAAAAAAGGCACAATACCGTGACTGGAACGATACACAAATAACCCGCACATAAAAGAGAGAAGCTTATGACGACGTTTCGGTCCAAACTTGGCCAGGGCCCAAAAGTTACGTTTGGTGCCGGGGTTGAGCGTGTTTAATTTCATTTGGGTCGATTTATTTACCATTCTTGTACTACTACTACTACTATCACCTCTTCCTGCCTATATATAGCCGTCCTGCTCCACTTCTGGTTAGTGTGACTTTGTAAATGGTCCAAGTCGGACCGAAACGTCATCGTAAGCTTCTCTCTTTTATGTGCGGGTTATTTGTATAACAAAAAGGCATAATACCATAATTGGAGCAATATATAAATAAGCCGCACATAGGAGAGAGAAGCTTATGGCGATGTTTTGGTCCCACTTGGATTATTTACAAGTCACACTGTGAATGCTCCAAGTCAGACTGAAGTGTCGTCATAAGCTTCTCTCTCTCCTATGTGCAGGTTATTTCTCTCTCCTATGTGCAGGTTATTTCTCTCTCCTATGTGCAGGTTATTTCTCTCTCCTATGTGCAGGTTATTTCTCCTTCCTATGTGCAGATTATTTCTATCTCCTATGTGCAGGTTATTTCTATCTCCTATGTGCAGGTTATTTCTCTCTCCTATGTGCAGGTTATTTCTCTCTCCTATGTGCAGGTTATTTCTCTCTCCTATGTGCAGGTTATTTCTCTCTCCTATGTGCAGGTTATTTCTCTCTCCTATGTGCAGGTTATTTCTCTCTCCTATGTGCAGGTTATTTCTCTCTCCTATGTGCAGGTTATTTCTCTCTCCTATGTGCAGGTTATTTTCATCTCCTATGTGCAGGTTATTTCTCTTCATATGTGCAGGTTATTTCTCTCTCCTATGTGCAGGTTATTCTCTCTCCTATGTGCAGGTTATTTCTCTCTCCTATGTGCAGGTTATTTCTCTCTCCTATGTGCAGGTTATTTCTCTCTCCTATGTGCAGGTTATTTCTCTCTCCTATGTGCAGGTTATTTCTCTCTCCTATGTGCAGGTTATTTCTCTCTCCTATGTGCAGGTTATTTCTCTCTCTATGTGCAGGGTTTTTTTCTCTCTCTATGTGCAGGTTATTTCTCTCTCCTATGTGCAGGTTATTTCTCTCTCCTATGTGGGAGGTTATTTCTCCCCTTTCCCATGTGAGGTTTTTTTCTCCTATGTGCAGGTTATTTCTTTCCCATGTGCAGGTTATTTCTCCTATGTGCAGGTTATTTCTCCTCCTATGTTTCAGGTTATTTCTCTTTCCCATGTGCAGGTTATTTCTTTTCTCCTATGTGCAGGTTATTTCTCTCTCCTATGTGCAGGTTATTTCTCTCTCCTATGTGCAAGTTATTTCTCCTATGTGCAGGTTATTTCTCTCTCCTATGTTGCAGGTTATTTCTCTCTCCTATGTGCAGGTTATCTCTCTCTCTATGTGCAGGTTATTTCTTCTCCTATGTGCAGGTTATTTCTCCCCTCCTATGTGCAGGTTATTTCTCTCTCCTATGTGCAGGTTTTTTCTCCTTCCTATGTGAGGTTATTTCTCTCCCTATGTGCAGGTTATTTCTCTCTCCTATGTGCAGATTATTTCTCTCTCCTATGTGCAGGTTATTTTCTTTTCTCCCATGTGCAGGTTATTTCTCTTCCTATGTGCAGGTTATTTCTCTCTCCCATGTGCAGGTTATTTCTTCTTTCCCCATGTGCAGGTTATTTCTCCTTCCTATGTGCAGGTTATTTCTCTCTCCTATGTGCAGGTTAATTTCTTCTCCTATGTGCAGGTTATTTCTTTCCCTTCCTATGTGCAGGTTATTTCTCCTATGTGCAGGTTATTTTCTCTCCTATGTGCAGGTTATTTTCTCTCCTTAAGTGCAGGTTATTTCTCTCTCCTATGTGCGGTTTTTTTCTCCTTCTATGTGCAGGTTATTTCTCTCTCCTATGTGCAGGGTTTTTTCTTCCTATGTGCGGTTATTTTTTCTTCTCCTTGTGCAGGTTCTTTCTATCTCCTATGTGGGAGGTTATTTTCTCTCCTATGTGAAGGTTATTTCTCTCTCCTATGTGAGGTTATTTTTCTTCCTATGTGCAGGTATTTCTCCCCCCTATGTGCAGATTATTTCTATCTCCTATGTGGGAGGTTTATTTCTCTCTCCCATGTGCAGGTTATTTCTCTCTCCTATGTGCAGGTTTTTTTCTCCATGTGCAGGTTATTTCTCTCCTATGTGCAGGGTTTTTTCTCCCTCTATGGTGCAGGTTATTTCTCTCTCCTATGTGCAGGTTATTTTTATCTCCTATGTGCAGGTTTTTTCTCTCTCCCATGTGCAGGTTATTTCTATCTCCTATGTGCAGGTTATTTCTATCTCCTTTTGTGCAGGTTATTTCTCTCTCCCATGTGCAGGTTATTCTCTCTCCTATGTGCAGGGTTTTTTCTCTCTCCCATGTGCAGGTTATTTCCTTCCTATGTGCAGGTTATTTCTCTCTCCTAGTGCAGGTTTTTTTCTATCTCCTATGTGCAGGTTATTTCCTCTCCCTATGTGCAGGTTATTTCTATCTCCTATGTGCAGGTTATTTCTCTCTCCTATGTGCAGGTTATTTCTATCTCCTATGTGCAGGTTATTTCTCTCTCCTATGTGCAGGCTATCTCTCCTATGTGCAGGTTATTTCTCTCTCCTATGTGCAGGTTATTTCTATCTCCTATGTGCAGGTTATTTCTCTCTCCTATGTGCAGGTTATTTCTCTCTCCTATGTGCAGGTTATTTTTATCTCCTATGTGCAGGGTTATTTTCTCTCCTATGTGCAGGTTATTTCTCTCTCCTATGTGCAGATTATTTCTATCTCCTATGTGCAGGGTTTTTTCTCTCTATGTGAGGTTTTTTTCTCCTTCCTATGTGCAGGTTATTTCTCTCTTTCCCATGTGCAGGTTATTTCTCTCTCCTATGTGCAGGTTATTTCTCCTTCCTATGTGCAGGTTATTTCTCCTATGTGCAGGTTATTTCTCTCTCCTATGTGCAGGTTATTTCTCCTTCATGTGCAGGTTTTTTTTCCTATGTGCAGGTTATTTCTCTCCCATGTGCAGGTTTTTCTCTCTCCTATGTGCAGGTTATTTCTCTTCCTATGTGCAGGTTATTTCCTCTCCTATGTGCAGGTTATTTCTCTCTCCTATGTGCAGGTTTTTTTCTCTCTCCTATGTGCAGGTTATTTTTTCTTCCCCATGTGCAGGTTATTTCTCTCTCCTATGTGCAGGTTATTTCTCTCTCCTATGTGCAGGTTATTTCTCTCTCCTATGTGCAGGTTATTTCTCTCTCCTATGTGCAGGTTATTTCTATCTCCTATGTGCAGGTTATTTCTCTCTCCTATGTGCAGGTTATTTCTCTCTCCTATGTGCAGGTTATTTCTCTCTCCTATGTGCAGGTTATTTCTCTCCTATGTGCAGGTTATTTCTCCCTCCTATGTGCAGATTATTTCTATCTCCTATGTGCAGGTTATTTCTCTCTCCTATGTGCAGGTTATTTCTCTCTCCTATGTGCAGGTTATTTCTCCTATGTGCAGGTTATTTCTCTCCTATGTGCAGGTTATTTCTCCCTCCTATGTGCAGGTTATTTCTCTCTCCTATGTGCAGGTTATTTGTCTCTCCTATGTGCAGGTTATTTCTCTCTCCTATGTGCAGGTTATTTCTATCTCCTATGTGCAGGTTATTTGTCTCTCCTATGTCAGGTTATTTTCTCTCTCCTAAGTGCAGGTTATTTCTCTCTCCTATGTGCAGGTTATTTCTCTCTCCTATGTGCAGGGTTTTTTCTCTCTCCTATGTGAGGTTATTTCTCTCTCCTATGTGCAGGTTATTTCTCTTCCTATGTGCAGGTTATTTCTCTCCTATGTGCAGGTTAAATTTTTCCCTCCTATGTGCAGATTATTTCTATCTCCTATGTGCAGGTTATTTTCTCTCTCCTATGTGCAGGTTATTTTTCTCTTCCTATGTGCAGGTTATTTTTCTCTCTCCTATGTGAGGTTATTTTCTCCTAAAGTGCAGGTTATTCTCCCTCCTATGTGCAGGTTATTTCTATCTCCTATGTGCAGGTTAATTCTCTCTCCTATGTGCAGGTTATTTCTCTTCCTATGTGCAGATTATTTCTATCTCCTATGTGCAGGTTATTTCTCTCTCCTATGTGAGGTTATTTCTCTCCTCCTAAGTGCAGGTTATTTCTCTCTCCTATGTGCAGGTTATTTCTCTCTCCTATGTGCAGGTTATTTCTCTCCCCCTATGTGCAGGTTATTTCTTTTCTCCTATGTGCAGGTTATTTCTCTCTCCTATTTTGCAGGTTTTTCTTCTCCTATGTGCAGGTTATTTTTCTCTCCTATGTGCAGGTTATTTCTCTCTTTCCCATGTGCAGGTTATTTCTCTCTATGTGCAGGTTATTTCTCTCTCCTATGTGCAGGGTTTTTTCTCCTTCCTATGTGCAGGTTATTTCTCTCTCCTATGTGCAGGTTATTTTCTCTCCTATGTGCAGGTTATTTCTCCTTCCATTGTGCAGGTTATTTCTCTCTTTCCCATGTTGCAGGTTATTTCTCTCTCTATGTGCAGGTTATTTCTCCTTCCTATGTGCAGGTTATTTCTCCTATGTGCAGGTTATTTCTCTCTCCTATGTGCAGGTTAAATTTTTCCTTCCTATGTGCAGGTTATTTCTCCTATGTGCAGGTTATTTCTCTCTCTATGTGCAGGTTATTTCTCTCTCCTATGTGCAGGTTATTTTTTCTCTCCTATGTGAGGTTATTTCCCTTTCCCATGTGCAGGTTTTTTCTCCCTCCTATGTGCAGATTATTTCTATCTCCTATGTGCAGGTTATTTCTCTCTCCTATGTGCAGGTTATTTCTCTCTCCTATGTGCAGGTTATTTTCTCTTCCTATGTGCAGGTTATTTCTTTTCCTATGTTGCAGGTTATTTCTCCCTCCCATGTGAGGTTATTTCTATTCCTTGTGCAGGTTATTTCTCTCTCCTATGTGCAGGGTTATTTCTCTCTCCTATGTGCAGGTTATTTCTCCTATGTGCAGGTTATTTCTCTCTCCTATGTGCAGGTTATTTCTATCTCCTATGTGCAGGTTATTTCTCTCTCCTATGTGCAGGTTATTTCTATCTCCTATGTGCAGGTTTTTTTTCTCTCTCCTATGTGCAGGTTATCTCTCTCTCCTAGTGCAGGTTATTTCTCTCTCCTTTTGTGCCCGGTTATTTCTCTCTCCTATGTGGGAGGTTATTTGTTCCTATGTGCAGGTTATTTCTATCTCCTATGTGCAGGGGTTTTTTTCTCTCCTATGTGCAGGTTATTTTATCTCCTATGTGCAGGTTATTTCTCTCGTCCTTGTGCAGGTTATTTCTATTCCTATGTGAGGTTATTTCTCTCTCCTATGTGCAGGCTATCTCTCTCTCCTATGTGCAGGTTATTTCTTTTCCTATGTGAGGTTTTTTTTCTCCCTTCCCATGTGCAGGTTATTTTCTCTCTCCTATGTGCGGTTATTTTTCCTTCCTATGTGCAGGTTATTTCTCCTATGTGCAGGTTATTTCTCCCCTTCCCATGTGCAGGTTATTTCTCTCCTATGTGCAGGTTATTTATCTCTCCTGTGTGCAGGGGTTATTTCTCTCTCCTATGTGCAGGTTATTTCTCTCTCCTATGTGCAGGCTATTTCTCTCTCCTATGTGCAGGTTATTTCTCTCTATGTGCAGGTTATTTCTCTCTCCTATGTGCAGGTTGTTTCTCTCTCCTATGTGCAGGTTGTTTCTCTCTCCTATGTGCAGGTTATTTCTCTCTATGTGCAGGTTATTTCTCTCTCTCTATGTGCAGGTTATTTCTCTCTATGTGCAGGTTTTTTTTCTCTCCTAAAGTGCAGGTTATCTCTGTCTCCTATGTGCAGGTTATTTCTCTCTCCTATGTGCAGGTTATTTCTCTCTCCTATGTGCAGGTTATTTCTCTCTCCTATGTGCAGGTTATTTCTCTCTCCTATGTGCAGGTTATTTCTCTCTCCTATGTGCAGGTTATTTCTCTCTATGTGCAGGTTATTTTTTCTTCCCTATGTGCAGGTTTTTCTCTCTAGTGAGGTTAATTTCTCTCTCCTATGTGCAGGTTATTCTCTCTCCTATGTGCAGGTTATTTCTCTCTATGTGCAGGTTATTTCTCTCTCCTATGTGCAGGTTATTTCTCTCTCCTATGTGCAGGTTATTTCTCTCTATGTGCAGGTTATTTGTTATTCTGCTAGTGTAATAATCACCTTCCAGCCCATGAGAAGATGTGCGTCACTTCGTGAGATGTTTATTTACCTCCCGGTGATATCATCAATGTACAGTTATAGCTTACTTTTATTTCTTTCATGTTTTGTAGATTCTAGTCCATTTTTACTGTTTAAGGCCGCCTTGAAACTTAAATAAATGAAATATATTGTTAATTTCTTTATTGAATACAGTAACTAAATTTTAAGCCTGTTGTAGCATCTGGTACCAGACCTTAAATTTGCACGGTCTTAGTTTTTAATGGTTTGTGCGAATTTGTGATCTACAGATACGGTATATACAGTGGACCCCCGTTATAACGGGGAGAGCTCATCGTATGCCAAAATTATCGGAAGACGAATTAATTTTCCCCATGAGAAATAATGGAAATCAAATTAATCCGTGCAAGACACCCAAAAATACTATGAAAAAAAAATTTTTACCACATGAAATATTAAGTTTAATGCACACAAACTGAAGAAGACATGCACAGTTAGTAGTACTCTACTAACAATACAATACATGACACTTACCTTTAATGAAGATCTGGTGATGATTGATGGGATGGGAGGAGGGGAGAGTGTCGAAGTTGTTAATGTTTAGAAGGGGAATCCCCTTCCATTAGGACTTGAGGTAGCAAGTCCTTTTCTGGGGTTACTTCCCTTCTTCTTTTAATGCCACTAGGACCGGCTTGAGAGTCACTGGACTTCTGTCGCACAACAAATCTGTCCATAGAGCTCTGTACCTCCCTTTCCTTTATGATTTGTCTAAAATGGGCCACAACATTGTCATTGTAATAGTTATCGGCACTGCTTGCAATAGCTGTGTTAGGGTGATTTTCATCCATAAAGGTTTGTCAACCCACTTTGCACACATTTCCTTAATTTTTGAAGTAGGCACAATGGATCCCACAACTGGCATAGGCTTCTCAGGGTTAGCCCAAAACCCTTCAGAATCTTTCTTAATTTCCATACTAATTCTCACCCTTTTTACCACGGGTTGGCACTAGAGCTTTCTTGGGCCCACGGTGACTTATTTTGCAGAAACAAGCACCAAAAACACTGTTGTAATATGGAATGTACTGAATGTATGCTTAGATGCAGCACACTGGCTGGTTTTGTAAACACTGGCACTCACGTGGACGCGTCCTGGCGAATCACGTTTGTGGCGGGTTTTTTAACGAAGTGGCGAGGCAAATTTTTGCGTTTAAAATGTATTGAATACCGGATTTAACTTATACCGATGCCATCGAATACCGGGGGTTCACTGTATCTATTCTATCTGTATTATGTACTGTACATTAAGAATACTTACCATAACACACCTCAGTATTCAGTGTGATGCTCTGTTGTATATTCTATATGCCTTATTTGATTCATATTTAAATTAAAGAAGGAATAATTTGCTCAGAATAAATATTTACAGTACACTATGTATTGTAAAGTGGTTATCCTTAATAATAATTCTTCCAATTCTATAAATTAGAATATTTGTATGATTCTGATATAAATTAGTTATTTTAATGTTACTCTGGAAACCAGAAAGTTGAATTGTACACATATGTTAACCACATTTCTTTTTTTTTTTAGCAAACTGGTCATCTCCCAACTGAGGCAGGGTGACTAAAAAAAAATAAAAAGAGGAATTGAAAAAATTCTCTTCAGCTGCATTTTTATGTGAATAATTGAAAAAGACTGGAGAACATTCTTCCTTCTGGTAATCCTGCATGTTTGTGTTCCAGAGAGTAGTGTAATTACCTGTGAAGTACTGGTATTACCTGTTGGTGCAGCTGCTGGGATGGGTTACTGGAACCTGCTAACCAAGTTCTCTATACGAACTCTAAGAACCTATAGACGTAACTGACCAGGAGGCTCCTAAGTGATGTTTCTGACAGGCTATGAAAGGTAGGGATTGTTTTTCTTTTTTTTTTCTCTTTTTTAACATACCACCACCAAGGCAAGGTGACCCAAAAAAGAGGAAATAAAAGCTTTTCTTCTCTTTACATTCAGTAATTTATACAGAAAAAGGGGTTACTGGCCCCTTGTTCCCAGCATTTTAATCACCTCTTGCAACACGCATGGCAATGTACAGTATTCTGTGTCACAACTATAAATGTGCTCGGCCAGGCAAGCGCCAGACAAACCTGGCCCATTGATGGGCTGCTGGAGTACCAATATTTTCACTCTCAGAGATCAAAGGTGTCTTAACCATTGAAAGGGTTCCTTGATTGTATTAATATTGGTAGAATTACCAAGAATATGTTAGGTAAAAGGACACAAGTGCAACTAATGTGGCATTTTACTGTAGCAACGTTTCGCTCCAGGAGTTTTGTCAAGCTCCCCAGCTTGATAAAGCTCCTGGAGAGCGAATGTTGCCACAGTAAATATCACATGGGTTCCTTGACGCTGGTGGGAGAACTCTTGATCCAAGACATTAGTCACCCCCTACTTAGTCTGACGGTATGGTTTATTTCCCTGTGATTATAATAATAATGATTGAGTCTCGGTATGACTCACGAAACTGTAATGACACGATTGCAAAAAAATCATACCATGGGGGAGAGAACCGCAGTCAGAGAGTCAAAAAAACTCCAGACGACTCGTTAGTCACTGGACCCAGTGGCTAACACTTCAGTCATGGATTTTTATGACTCTCTGACTGCGGTTCTCTCCACTCGGGGTATGGTTTAAGTCTCAGTATGTTCAGAATGATTGGAAATGATCAGTTGCTGATCACTTTTTTAAATACATTCTTGTTTTTATTTATTTAATTCAATGCACTTTTGCTTTTTGATGTCATTCTCTATTGATTCTAAATTTAAATAATCTTTGAGCATTAAGATAAGTTTGTCCAAAATGCATTTCATACTAGTGGCTTTTGTGTCTGACAATCTTTTATTACTATGATATATATACCTCCTAGGTAGTAGGTTAGTAGACAGCAACCACCCAGGGAGGTACTGCCATCCTGTGGTAGTAGGTTGGTAGACAACCACCCAGGGAGGTACTACCATCCTGTGGTAGTAGGTTAGTAGACAACAACCACCCAGGGAGGTACTACCATCCTGTGGTAGTAGGTTAGTAGACAACAACCACCCAGGGAGGTAAAAACCATCCTGTGTAGTAGGTTGGTAGACAACAACCCCCCAGGGAGGTACTACCATCCTTGGTAGTAGGTTGGTAGACAACAACCACCCAGGGAGGTACTAACCATCCTGTGGTAGTAGGTTGGTAGACAACAACCACCCAGGGAGGTACTACCATCCTGTGGTAGTAGGTTGGTAGACAACAACCACCCAGGGAGGTACTACCATCCTGTGGTAGTAGGTTGGTAGACAACAACCACCCAGGGAGGTACTACTGTCCTGTGGTAGTAGGTTGGTAGACAACAACCACCCAGGGAGGTACTACCATCCTGTGGTAGTAGGTTGGTAGACAACAACCACCCAGGGAGGTACTACTGTCCTGTGGTAGTAGGTTGGTAGACAACAACCACCCAGGAGGTACGACCATCCTGTGGTAATAGGTTGGTAGACAACAACCACCCAGGGAGGTAATACCGTCCTGTGGTAGTAGGTTGGTAGACAACCACCCAGGGAGGTACTACCATCCTGTGGTAGTAGGTTGGTAGACAACAACCACCCAGGGAGGTACTACCATCCTGTGGTAGTAGGTTGGTAGACAACAACCACCCAGGGAGGTACTACCATCCTGTGGTAGTAGGTTGGTAGACAACCACCCAGGGAGGTACTACCGTCCTGTGGTAGTAGGTTGGTAGACAACCACCCAGGGAGGTACTACCATCCTGTGGTAGTAGGTTGGTAGACAACAACCACCCAGGGAGGTACTACCATCCTGTGGTAGTAGGTTGGTAGACAACAACCACCCAGGGAGGTACTACCGTCCTGTGGTAGTAGGTTGGTAGACAACAACCACCCAGGGAGGTACTACCATCCTGTGGTAGTAGGTTGGTAGACAAACAACCACCCAGGGAGGTACTACCATCCTGTGGTAGTAGGTTGGTAGACAACAACACCCAGGGAGGTACTACCATCCTGTGGTAGTAGGTTGGTAGACAACAACCACCCAGGGAGGTATACTACTGTCCTGTGGTAGTAGGTTGGTAGACAACAACCACCCAGGGAGGTACTACCGTCCTGTGGTAGTAGGTTGGTAGACAACAACCCGCCCAGGGAGGTACTACCATCCTGTGGTAGTAGGTTGGTAGACAACAACCACCCAGGGATGGTACTACCATCCTGTGGTAGTAGGTTGGTAGACAGCAACCACCCAGGGAGGTACTACCATCCTGTGGTAGTAGGTTGGTAGACAACAACCACCCAGGGAGGTACTACCATCCTGTGGCAGTAGGCTGGTAGACAACAACCACCCAGGGAGGTACTACCATCCTGTGGTAGTAGGTTGGTAGACAGCAACCACCAGGAGGTACTACCATCCTGTGGTAGTAGGTTGGTAGACAACAACCACCCAGGGAGGTACTACCGTCCTGTGGTAGTAGGTTAGTAGACAACAACCACCCAGGGAGGTACTACCATCCTGTGGTAGTAGGTTGGTAGACAACAACCACCCAGGGAGGTACTACCATCCTGTGGCAGTAGGCTGGTAGACAACAACCACCCAGGGAGGTACTACCATCCTGCCAAGTGAGTGTAAAACGAAAGCCTGTAATTGTTTTACATGATGGTAGGATTGCTGGTGTCTTTTTTCTGTCTCATAAACATGCAAGATTTCAGGTACATCTTGCTACTTCTACTTACACTTAGGTCACACTACACATACATGTACAAGCATATATATACACACCCCTCTGGGTTTTCTTCTATTTTCTTTCTAGTTCTTATTCTTGTTTATTTCCTCTTATCTCCATGGGGAAGTGGAACAGAATTCTTCCTCCGTAAGCCCATGCCGGGGACTACCTAGATGGGAATTTCCCAAATTCCTTCTATCTTGCTCCAACTGAGCCCATGGAAGTCACCGAGATTATAAAGTCACTTAAAAATAACTCAGGGAATCTGTCTCATGTCCCACCATTATTGTACAAGAGAGCAGCCCATGTCCTCTCACATGCTATCTCATTACTTTTTAACAAGTCACTAGAAACTAGCACCTTCCTGAAACTACTCAAGACGGCAAGGGTTACACCAATACATAAAGGTGGTGACCCTACAGATTTAAACAACTATAGGCCAATATCAAACTTACCATTGCTATCCAAAATCTTTGAGAACTCGTGCACAGGAGACTATATTCATTTATAACGGCACAAAACATACTCAACCCTGCAATTTGGATTCAGGAAAAATAAAAGCACTAACGATGCAATCATAAAAATGCTAGATCTGCTTTACACAGCATTGGAAAATAAGGAATATCCACTAGGAATTTTTATTGACTTAAGAAAAGCTTTTGACACAGTAGACCACGGCATCCTACTCCACAAACTTGACCATTATGGTATAAGAGGCCATGCGCTTGCATATTTCAAATCTTACCTTACTAATGGGTATCAATATGTCACCATTAAAGACACAGCATCAACAACACAGCCACTTGATACTGGAGTTCCGCAGGGAAGTGTCCTTGGTCCCCTGCTCTTCCTCATATACATCACTGATCTTCCAAACCTTTCTCAACACCTTAACCCCATTCTCTTTGCTGACGACACGACTTATGCCATCTCTCACCCTAATCTTGCCACCCTCAACACCATTGTTAATGAGGAGCTGATCAAATTATCGACTTGGATGACAGCTTAACTTACGCTTAACACTGACAAACCCTACTACATTATGTTTGGTAACAGAGCAGGATATGCGCAAATTAACATTAAGATCGACAACACTCTAATTGCCAGGCATAATGAGGGCAATTCTAGGCCATATACCTCGACAACAACCTGAACTTCAGCACCATATCCAACACATAACCAAAAAGTATCCAAAACGGTTGGGATCCTCTCCAAGATACGATACTACTTGCCGCAAACTGCCCTTCTCACACTATACTATCACTTACATATCCATCCCTCACCTATGCTATCTGTGCTTGGGGTAAACTGCAGCAAAAACACCTAAAGTCAATAATAACCCAACAAAAAGCCGAAAGTAAAAATAATCACTAAATCCCATCCCTGGCAACCCCCCCCCACTCTTCATAGACCTAAACTTACTCCCTGTTCAGTACATCCACATTTTACTACTGTGCAATCTACATCTACAGGACCTTAAATTCCAATATTAACCTTGACCTAAAATTGCTTTCTTGATAGTTGTGACAGAACCCACAGGCATAACACCAGACACAAACATCTCTATGACATTCCCGTGTCCGACCTAAACTTTACAAAAATTCAATGTATGTAAAAGGGCCCCAAAAAATCTGGAACACCCTACCGGGAAAAATTCTAAAACTGTAGACACATTCATCACCTTCAAAACTACCATCAGAAAAACATTTTATCTCCCTGATACCCCCTGTCAACAAAATTACACGAATACACCTGGTGGTTAACACTTACACTCACTCACCCATTTGACCATAAATAGAAATATCAATCTCTATCTCAAAATAATGAATCTTAACTAGTCATAAGTTGGCCTGTGATACTCCAATACTGAAACTATATATAGTGCCAAAACAAAAGCATTCACATTTCTAAACTCACAAGCTAGTATTTAGTCACTTAGCCATAATACAAACTTACCTCATAATTTGTAATATTTTAAACTTAAGATTTAATCTAAGTCTGCCCGAAATGCCTAGCCATGCTAGGTGTTCTAGTGGTACACTCTGTAATTATTATTTTACTACATGTAAACCAAACAATAACCAAATTCTGTAAACTCAGCATTGTAATCCTTATAGAGAATAAACTTTGAATTGAATTGAGTTGAAAATGCCGGGAGCAAGGGGCTAGTAACCTCTTCTCCTGTATATCTTACTAAATGTAAAAGGAGAAACTTTCGTTTTTCCTTTTGGGCCACCCTGCCTCGGTGGGATACTGCCGGTGTGATGAAAGAAGAAAGAAAGATATATACCTAGTATTAAGTAGTCTGTTAAGCATTAAGTGTAGTCTGCCCGAAATGCCCCGACACGATAGTGGCTTTCTTTGTACTTAGCAAATCAAAATTATAATTACACATTGTAAACTATGCAAAGAAATAAAATCCTTAATCCTTAATAACACATAAACTACATTATCCTTGTTTTGTTTTATTAATACATCATTCATTTCCCAGAAAAGAAGAAGAAACACTTTAATCATCATTCACTCCATCACTGTCTTGCTGCCTACACTACAGCTTATAAAACTTTACCATATAAAATTATCTTTGTGCCACATAAAGAGAAATAAAAATTGAGTTTACAATCTATAATTGTTAAATGCCAAATTAAGTATTATATTTAGCCATTTTATTAAATGCATAGCAAAAATACAGTATTATTAATTTATGACTCGGGAAATCATGACTCACTTGCCATGAGTTCTAACCCCACCCGTACCCTGGTTTATTAATTCATGTTTTACAGTACAGTTTTGTGTTAACAGGTACTAGCTGGTAAAGCAGAAAGTAGTCATTGATTACTGTAATAGAGGGAATCCACAATTTGCAGCAAATTCGAAAGAATGTTGAGAAAGTGACTTGAGGATCAGTAGCCGCCCCATCCTGCACGCTGTACCAGGTTTGATTTCAATGAAATTTACACGTGTCAAGGAAGGCAGTAACGGCAAGGTTAATAAAACTTAGGAAATATATGCCTCGGTTGTAGCATTATTGCTATTTAAAATATTGCACCCACAGTGAAAATTCAATATAACTACAATGGTACCTCAAGATACGAACAGCTAAAAACTTGAACAATTATGTAAGTGCTTTAGTAAGTGTTTTTTGGGGGTCTGAAATGGATTAATTTAATTTACATTATACCTTATGGGAACAGATTTTTTGGTATTGGCACTCGAACAGCCTTCTGGAACAAATTAAGTTCATATCCCAAGGTACCACTGTATTTATGATTTTCTTAGGGAGTAGGTTGGTAGACAGCAACCACCCAGGGAGGTACTACCATCCTGTGGTAGTAGGTTGGTAGACAACAACCACCCAGGGAGGTACTACCATCCTGTGGTAGTAGGTTGGTAGACAGCAACCACCCAGGGAGGTACTACCATCCTGTGGTAGTAGGTTGGTAGACAACAACCACCCAGGGAGGTACTACTGTCCTGTGGTAGTAGGTTGGTAGACAACAACCACCCAGGGAGGTACTACCATCCTGTGGTAGTAGGTTGGTAGACAACAACCACCCAGGGAGGTACTACCATCCTGTGGTAGTAGGTTGGTAGACAACAACCACCGGGGAAAGGTATTTACCATCCGTGGTAGTAGGTTGGTAGACAACAACCCCCCAAAGGAAGGTACACCATCCTGTGGTAGTAGGTTGGTAGACAACAACCACCCAGGAGAGGTACTACATCTGTGGTAGTAGGTTGGTAGACAACAACCACCCAGGAGGTACTACTGTCCTGTGGTAGTAGGTTGGTAGACAACAACCACCCGGGGAGGTACTACCATCCTGTGGTAGTAGGTTGGTAGACAACAACCACCCAGGGAGGTTACTACCATCCTGTGGTAGTGGGTTTGGGTAGACAACAACCACCCAGGGAGGTACTACCATCCTGTGGTAGTAGGTTGGTAGACAACAACCACCGGGGAGGTACTACCATCCTGTGGTAGTAGGTTGGTAGACAACAACCACCCAGGGAGGTACTACCATCCTGTGGTAGTAGGTTGGTAGACAACAACCACCCAGGGAGGTACTACCGTCCTGTGGCTAGTAGGTTGGTAGACAAAAACCCAACCCAGGGAGGTACTACATCCTGTGGAGTAGGTTGGTAGACAACAACCACCCAGGGAGGTACTACTGTCCTGTGGTAGTAGGTTAGTAGACAACAACCACCCAGGAGGTACTACCATCCTGTGGTAGTAGGTTGGTAGACAACAACCACCCACGGGGTACTACTGTCCTGTGGAGTAGGTTAGTAGAACAAACCACCCGGGGAAAGGTACTACCTCCTGTGCAGTGGGTTTGGTAGACAAAAACTGCCAAAGGGGAGGTACATGCCTGCCAAGTTGGGTGTGAAACGAAAGCCTGTAATTGTTTTACATGATGGTAGGATTGCTGGTGTCTTTTGTCCGTTTCATAAACATGCAAAGTTTCAGGTACGTCTTGCTACTTCTACTTACATTTAAGTCACACTACACATACATGTACAAGCATATACAGTGGTACCCCGAGCTTCATACTGCTCCCAGCTCGAACAATTATGTAAGTATATTATTGTAAGTGCATTTGTAAGTGTATTTTTGGGGGGTCTGAAATGGACTAATCTAATTTACATTATTCCTTAGGCCTAGGGGAACAAATTTGTTCAGTAGCAACAATCGAACAGCCTTCTGGAACTAATTATGTACGAAACTCGGGGTACCACTGTGTATACATGTATTTATACACACCCCTCTGGGTTTTCTATTTTCTTACTAGTTCTTGTTCTTGTTTATTTCCTCTTATCTCCATGGGAAAGTGGAACAGAATTCTTCCTCCGTAAGCCATGCGTGTTGTAAGAGGCGACTAAAATGCCGGGAGCAAGGGGCTAGTAACCCCTTCTCCTGTATACATTACTTAATTTAAAGAGAGAATCTTTCATTTTTCTTTTTAGGTAACCCTGCTTCAGTGGGATATGGCCGGTTTGTTGAAAAACAAAAATCCATAGTTTTATATAGTATGTAAGGGTGTAATTTGTAGCTTGTACTGTATATGCATATATGTAGTAGGGTGTAATTTATAACTTGCATACTGGTATATACATGGAGGGTGTCGTTTATACACTTATGTATTTTCAAGCTGTTGGAGTGTGAGCAGGGTAATATTTAGTGAAGGGATTCAGGGAAACCGGTTATTTTCATATAGTCGGACTTGAGTCCTGGAAATGGGAAGTACAATGCCTGCACTTTAAAGGAGGGGTTCGGGATATTGGCAGTTTGGAGGGATATGTTGTGTATCTTTATACGTATATGCTTCTAAACTGTTGTATTCTGAGCATCTCTGCAAAAAAAGTGATTATGTGTGAGTGTGGTGAAAGTGTTGAATGATGATGAAAGTGTTTTCTTTTTGGGGATTTTCTTTCTTTTTGGGTCACCCTGCCTCGGTGGGAGACGGCCGACTTGTTGAAAGAAGAAAAAAATGTATATACATGGAGGGTTTGAGACCCTCGTCCATCCTTCTGTTTATTCATCAGCAGTTGTTTATTGCAGTTTAATTGAGTTCATAGATTGTGTAATTTATACACCCTTTGTTTATACAGATGGTGTTAGTTATAGTGTGTATATACTGTACATATAGAGTACAGTGGAACCTGGGTTTTTGTATGCCATAGTTTGTGTAAACCATAGTTATTCTTTATAAAATGTATTTTTTATTACTATTTTCCATAAGAAATAATGTAAATCCAATTAATCCATTCCAGAAACCCAAAAATATTAACAAAAAAATATATTTTATAGAGAATAACTATAGTTTCACATACAAACTAAGGCATACGAAAACCGAGGTTTCACTGTAGGTGTTATGAACATTCACTTGCAGTAACATATGACACAAAATGTGACTTCTCCCCAGTCCTCTACTCCCTGGTCACAGACCTGGCTGTGGGGAGCATTGACGCCGAAACCCTCTCCAGGTATAACCTGTTATTTTAAATGATTTAATACTGAAATATACACATATTCCTCGCCTAAACTAGTATTTTGTAGGATTACTCTTCCTCTTGATTCTCTCCTTAAGTCTCTTAGATGCTGATAAGACTAACTTCCATACAGCAGACGGGTCAATACCCTCCTATACCTCCTTAATTGCATTTGAGATTTCAAGGTTAGAGGACACATCTGCATCATAAAGCATATTGTTAGTAAGTTTCTGAATGTCCTCTGTCGAATTTGAGTTCCAGGCTAGTCATCATTAACCTTTAAACTGTCCAAACGTAGATCTACGTCCACGTGCGGGGGCCTCCGAACGTAGATCTACATTTTTTTATATGCTTTCAAACAGGGAAAATCAAGGTTGGAACACTACACATGTGAACGTAGATCTATGTTTGGGCAATTTAAGGGTTAATGTATGGAAAAGTCGTGATAATGTAGGTATTTCTTTGTTTTGAACAGCACCGCAAGGGGCACTGACTTCCATACAACAGTTGCCCTGCCAATTATCACATCTGTCAGGCAGATAGTCTGCTAAATGTGTACTTGTGAGTATGCTTATTTATGATGCCTACTGTACATAAGAGGGTGTGATATACATGTATATACAGTGGACCCCCACTTTAAGATCAGCTCCCAATGCGACCAAGTATGTAAGTGTATTTATGTAAGTGCGTTTGTACGTGTATGTTTGGGGGTCTGAAATGGACTAATCTAATTCACAATATTCCTTATGGGCACAGATTCGATCAGTAATGGCACCTGAACATACTTCTGGAGTGAAATAATATCGTAAGCCGGGGGTCCACTGTATTTCACAAGTGTCTCTTTTTATAAATTTGTCAGTTTTCTATACCATTTATTCACATCCTTCCCTTCATTACTCTTCTATCCTACACCTCCTCACTCCCTGAAATTTATACAGGCAGCAAAGGTTCTCTCTACATTCTCCAGATGTGTAATTTTGCCTGCCATTAAAGAATAAAGATTTTATTTCTTTGTAAAAGTTACAATGTGTAATTACAGTTTTGGTTTGCTAAGTACAAAGAAAGTCACTGTCATGCTGGGGCTGTTAGTGTGTCCCATAGCTGGATTGCTAGCGTACTCAGCTCACACATTGAGGTCCAGAGTTTGAATCTCTGGTACGGCAGGATAACATTAGGACGTGTTTCCGTAAAACATCTGCTGTCCATATTCACTTATAAGTATAAAATAGGTATCTGGGTGTTAGTGGACTGGTGTGGGCCACATCCTGGATGTTAGTGGACTGGTGTGGGTCACATCCTGGGTGTTAGTGGACTGGTGTGGGTCACATCCTGGATGTTAGTGGACTGGTGTGGGTCACATCCTGGGTGTTAGTGGACTGGTGTGGGTCACATCCTGGGTGTTAGTGGACTGGTGTGGGTCACATCCTGGGTGTTAGTGGGGTGGTGTGGGTCACATCCTGGGTGTTAGTGGACTGGTGTGGGTCACATCCTGGGTGTTAGTGGACTGGTGTGGGTCACATCCTGGGTGGTAGTGGACTGGTGTGGGTCACATCCTGGGTGTTAGTGGACTGGTGTGGGTCACATCCTGGGTGTTAGTGGACTGGTGTGGGTCACATCCTGGGTGTTAGTGGACTGGTGTGGGTTGCATCCTGGGTGTTGGTGGACTGGTGTGGGTCACATCCTGGGTGTTAGTGGACTGGTGTGGGTCATATCCTGGGTGCTAGTGGACTGGTGTGGGTCACATCCTGGCTATTAGTGGACTGGTGTGGGTCACATCCTGGGTGTTAGTGGACTGGTGTGGGTCACATCCTGGGTGTTAGTGGGGTGGTGTGGGTCACATCCTGGTTGTTAGTGGACTGGTGTGGGTCACATCCTGGGTGGTAGTGGACTGGTGTGGGTCACATCCTGGGTGTTAGTGGACTGGTGTGGGTCACATCCTGGGACAAAACTGACCTAATTTACGGGAAATGCTCAGCATAACAAGTGACTTTCTATATAGTAGTATGTCATTGATGTCAGCTATGGTCTGTATACCTTGTACATGTACTTGTATACCTTGTACATGTACTTGTATACCTTGTACATGTACTTGTATACCTTGTACATGTACTTGTATACCTTGTACATGTACTTCTATACCTTGTACATGTACTTGTATACCTTGTACATGTACTTCTATACCTTGTACATGTACTTGTATACCTTGTACATGTACTTGTATACCTTGTACATGTACCTGTAGAAATAAAGATATTATTATATTCCAGTCTAGAGAGAACAAGTGACTAAGAATATCATCATTATGTTGGCAGGTCTTGTCATGAAGCTTCTAGTTATCCAACCATTCATTTTCCTTGTAT